TAACTAGGAGATTATCTATTTAAGCTCTCTGGTTATTACTAACAAGAGTACGACTAGCTATACATGCAACTTTTGATGGCCTATTTAAGTAGTCTGCCCTAGGTTCCACACTAGTTGCCGTACCTATAACCCAACTAGAAGGTTACCCATTTAAACTCTTTGGCTTCCTCTTTGGTAACCCGCCCTACTCTAACACCCATATGGGATTAGCAATTGCCGTAAATGACCCTAAGAGTTAAGCTATTTCTAAAAAGATAAGTTAAGATAATATAAAATTTAAAATTATTTTTTTAAAAAAAGTCAATAAATAAGGCATATCTAAAATAAGAGATTATTTTGTAAATATAAGGAGTTAATTGTTTGTAAATCATAATAGTAATAACTACTTTAGAACTATCCATACAAGACTAGTAGTAAATATATAAGGAGTTGCAAGTAGTTTGAAGTAGTATAAGTTATAAGCAAGTTTTGTTTTAGTTAAGCAAATAATATTCAAATTGCTAGCTAAATAATATTTTTTTCAAACTTGTTATTTTAGCTTTTAATTATGAATATTATAAATACAAATAGAGATATTAAGTGGATAATAGATAGAGTTAGAAAAAAATAATAAAACAGAGTTATATATAGAAAATCAAAGTAGAATAAAGAGCTTGATATAAATAACTTCTAGATAAGACATAATAGTATAATTAGATAATAAACAGGGCTTGTCAGGTAAGTAAATATATGTCTTACTATAGTTAGTTTTGATAAATATAACAATTTTATTTTGAAGATTATTCTATAAATTATTAGTAAGTAAATGTAAAAAGAAGAAGATAAAAGCTTAAAAAAACAATATTAGTAAATAGTTTTAAGATAGTAGAAATTTGTTAAAGCAGCTAAAAGGTTCAAAAAGGGTGAAAAAAAGTATAACTTAAATCTTTTGAATATTTTTTATACTTTTGCTTGGCATATATCTAGCTTTTGCAATTTTACAAGAATTAGAAATACTTTGGTAAAATGTTAAAATGCTATTATTATTTAGTTCTTCCAGATAAATAGGCTTATTCATCTGCCTAATTATATCATCTTCTTTATTAAATGCTGTGAGTGCTTCTTTTAATAAGATGATAGCTGCAGTTATAAAAAACAAAACTACTAAAAAGGAAAATTAGAAAAGAGTACTTGGGTAGGGGAAGTAGAGGTGGAAACAGAATTGAAATCTAGATTAGTGTTATTATTAAGTACTGTATAAAATTATTAGAAGGAGGTGGGTTAGAAGGTATAGATTCATTGTTAGATACAGAGTTGTTAAAAAAGTAGGTAGTTGAAAAGAGATTTAATTGAGAAATAGTTTTAATAATATTAGAACTATTGGTTTGAATAATAATAGGAGAGAATAAGCTAAAAAGAATAGTAGAAGGTATAAAGAAAGTATTAGAGAGGAAGAAAGAGTTCTCAATAAAGAAGAGAACTTGAAAGTTTAAATTAAACTTAATAGTAATAATTTTTTTAGCTTTATTATAGGCTTAATTTTTAAGGTATTAGAAGATAAAGGAGAGAGAAGGTTGTTAGTTTTTGATAGTATCAAAGTAGATTATAATACAGACAAGGAAATCTATTTTGATAAGATTTTATGTGAGTTAGTTAATAGCTTATTTTTTAGAAAATTAGTTAATATTATAGTTTTGAGTAGCTATTTTATAGTAAGGAATAAAAAGTTTATAGAAGAAGATATTGTATTAGCCAGAAGAGATAAGTAAGAAATTAGTTTTGCAGAATGATTTCTTAGCAAAGTCTGCTAGTTTATGAAGTGTTTGAATAGGAATAGATGACTTGATATTTATAATCAATATGAAAGATAGAAGTGTTAATATGTAGGTTATCTAGATTGTTTTCTGCTTGAGGATGTGTTTTGAAGAATTTATTGAGAATAATTTTAAAGAGTTTAGATATGTCATGTTTAAGATCAGTAACAAAGAAGCAGCTAGTATGTTTACATGTAAAGATATGAAAGTTAAGATGATAATAACATTTATCATGTCTATTTTGAAAGTTGTAGAGTTTGAAAAATGAGATTTGAAGAGTAGTAAGTTTTTTAAATGTGAGATGAAATGTTTTCTAATTTGGGTTTTAAGAAAAGCTTCAGTATTATCTCTATTGGGAAGAGAGACAAATTGTTTGCTATAAAGGGAGAAGACCTTAGCAAACCAAGTATTAAAGTGATCAAGGAAGTTTGAAGAGATAGGATAGAGAATTGTTGTAAGAAAAGGGTCTTGGGAATATTAAAGAGCAGTTGAACATTAAATCAGTTATCAAATTTGATGGTAACATATTTATCCTTTTTATCAAAGAAAATAACAGAGGATGAGAATTTGAAGTTTTTAGGGCAAAATTTGAAGTCTTTAGTGAATTTGTTATACAGTATAACCTCGATATAACGAAGCTCTGTAGCTGGAGGTTTTCTTCGTTATATCAAAACTTTATTAATAGTTTCGTTATATTAGGGATAATTTAAACATAAAAATTAGAAATAATCTTCGTTATCGTTATATCGAGGTTCGTTATATCGAGGTTATACTGTAGTTAATGGCTTGGTAGTTGTTGGAGAGGTAAAGGTGTAGGAGATACGGCTTTATGAATACTGGCTATTACCATTACTATTTTTGTGTAAATATTTTATACAAGTAATCATAATCGTACTTTGCATTCCCAAAAACCAATATAATTAATCAAGTAAAATATCAGTTAAAAAGCCTTTTGTGTGCTAAAAATTAGGTCGATATTAACGCATGCATAAGATTTAATTTTTCTTCTTTAAGGACTGACATAAGGAGTTTCAACACTTATTAGATGCAAATTGTGGAGTAAAAAAAAAAAAAAAGAATAAACTTCTTTTTTTAAAAAAAAAAAAAAAATATTAAAAAAGGTTCATGCAATAGTTCTCAACATAATCAAATAATCCAGTATCAGCTCGAATCAGTTATAAAAATATGAATATTTATATATATCAATTAACTGATTTGATCTATTATTTGATATCTAACCTAATTAAGTATTTGGCCTCAAGTTTTGCTTTAGGTTTAATCATAACTAGGCTTATTTTCAGTACCTTCTTCTGGACGTTTTGTTAAGCTAGGATGCGGTAAAGGAACATGAACGTCGTAAAGTTTTCTTTCAGGTGGTCTAAACAGTACACCAATAGGAACTGAAAAAAACCGAGAAACCCTATGAAATATGTTAAATGGTAAAAATAAAATGCTAATAATTAACTATATGTATATCGAAAAAAAAAACTTACAATACCTGACCCTGAATTTGAATGGCTTCATCGATAACATCATGTCCTTCTGTTTGTTTTTCTTTTGCTGCAAGGGAAAGATCACTCAGACCTTGTTCCGTTTGATCAAGGTTTAAATAGCAAATCCCTCTGTTGAATAAGAATAAAGACAGAAATTGAGGCCTAACTGCTCATATGTGATAAGCATATTGCCACGAAGAAACTAAAGTTGAAAGAACGACGTCAATCGAATATAGTACTTTAATTGCATTTAATATAAACAAGAATTAATAAAATACCAGTAAAGCATCATTGAAATCTACAAGTGCTTTTTCAAATTCGGCCAACAAAAAATGCGATACACCTTTTTTAAGTATCCCACAGCAAAATGTTGATCCAATTTTACTGATTTTTTAAAGAACCGACACTTTTATAAAAATTAAGAATTTCCTTCAATTTATCTTTCAATTCAATAATTGATAAAATTGCTTAAAAAAGTGTATAAAACTCACCGCTTCTTCATGCTCGCCAAGTGTAGCATAAATTAGGCCAATATTGAAATGAACTTTTGCATTGTCCTCTATAGTCTATTGGCTATTTTTAAATAATTTGGAAGAAAAAGAAAGTAACTAAGATATTACTTTGAGTAAAGCTCAGATCTACGTGTTTAACAACTCTACCTTAAAGCAATCCAAGGCCCTGTCGAAATCTGCTTCATCATAAGCTTTGATGGCATCTTTCCATTGTTCTAATTCGTACTAAAAAGAAATTTCATTAATTTAATTTATCGTCCCAAAAATCAGTAGATTGGATATTAAACCAACCCTTAGAGTCATATTATCCTGTACCAGTAATTTTGTAATTCGTAAATTTTTAATTTGAAGTTCTGAAAAGAAGAATGAATTATTTATTACCTAGTTCTTTTAGACATGAAACATAATAACATATCAATAACATATCGATTGCATCGTGTAACAAGCTATTCTCTTGATTTTAATACCAACACTAGTTAGTGTAATTCTAACCGGTTAACTGAATAGCCGTATTATCCTTTTTTTGAATACTTTGTAGATAATCACTCAGCAGATAACTAACGCTAATTTACAGACAAGATCACCATTTAAATAATTGATTCACGGACAATTTCATTCCAAAGATAATCATTTCACGGCAGCTCATTATCGTCATTAGGCCGTTCGAAGTTAATTCCTCGGTTAACATCACCTTTTGAACTCTTAAAATGAATCGAACATGCCGGGTGTTTGATAAGTACCTAGACAGGACCTTTTTTTAATCACTAAATCATTAAATGTTATTATACTATATTAAAAAATATGTAATAATTAGCAATCATTATAATCTTTTATATAATAAAAACTAATACTAGTGGAGATATAAAAAAGGTCCTGTCTAGGGACTTATCAAACACCCGGTATAAAAATGGGCCAATTTCATTGGTCGACGTAAATCAAGTAATTGGCGAGAGTTATCCAGCGGTTTGATTGGTTGTTCACTTTTCGGGGAGAGACTACAGCGGGGGATGTTAATCGAAAAATCAACCTTAGGATTAGAGTTAAGGTTAGTGCAATTAATAAAAAAAAGTTGTAAAATGAGCTGTCGGTGAAATAAGCTGCCTATATATGAGCTGTAGATCTATGAAATGAAATTTCTGTGAATTAGTTGTCTATAGCTCAAACAGTCAATAAGGCATGCCATTTATATGTTATTTCGAAATATTTTAAGAATATATAGATTATGAGAAAGGTT